TATATGTCAAACTGGTTTAAAGTTGCTATCAAACGAAAAATATATTAAATCATTCGAGTCCTTTGAGAATTACTGTAAAAGAATTACACCATAATTCCACAAGTAAAAATGAAGATTCTTTTATGAATTCAAAAGAGAAGTATGTTATGTGTCAATTTTATGTTTCTAGTTATTTTTTATATGCGACTAAACAGATTTATTATATCACTGAAGTCAATTATCACAAAAATATAACAAGGTTCCTTGCGATTACTCAACGTATGTTGATTTTATGTAATATAATGACGTACGTTTTTATTAATCGACAAATTTGAATTTTTGATATCATTTAGATCCAACCTAAAGCATATTACATGGTTATTCAGTTTGCAAAAATTGGAATGGCGAAGGAAATTTCTGGTGAATTAACTGTTTGCATAATATAATGCAAATATCGTTCATCATGATCTTGTAAGAATATTTCTCCACTTCTATCAAGTGATGGACAGGCTATGCTAATCAACAGTAGAGATGTTAATTTTCGTATGGCTTTAAATATTGGTTCAGTGGAATAATTGCAATTAGAAATATTAATTCAGGCAAGTTAACCTAAAATGATTTTTTAAAATGCCGTACAAGATTTATCTCAATATTTCCTGTTGTACCCATCATCGTTCTTGTCTTTTATTGAACATGTACTACACAGTAAAATACTGAAATTAATAATTTAATTATTTTGTTAACATGATAGGAATGCGTTACTAAGTGATGTGTGCTAGTGATCACGGCCTTTAACTTATCAAAATCATTGGAAAGCAACTCATTGAATTAATAAGGTGGAAATTTTGCTTACACTGATCCAAATATCTTAATGATCCATTCAATTATGAACGCGAAAACTTCAGATATCTACAGTCTTGGTACATTTTTCTGAGAATTAACGAATGGTAGTTTATAATAGCGAAAAAGATAATAATTATACACGTACTGTACAGTACGTAGATATGTCAATCTATGATCACGTAGATATGACTTGCCTATACTAAGTGATATCGACAATAATGACGATTG